ATTGCTGTATAATGATTATACAGTAATGCAGAATAGCTCCAACTATGCAGGACTACAAGTCCCAGCAATACATTATAATGTGAATAAATATAAAATTAGTTTGTCTTCCACCCCTTTCCCCCTCCCCTTCCCCCCACATCGGGCACTTACCTGACTCCTACAGCCGCTCAGCTTCCTCGTCTTTGGCGGCCAGGGGGCTTGGTCTACCTAACAATAACTGTGTAACCATTTTGCATATGAAAATTATTTTTTACACCCTTTTTTAGCACAATTTTTTTGTAATAAGCGAGAAATGGACAAAGATGTTGAAATACGCAGTTTTAGTTTGCGGTGTAAAATATTTTATTAAATTAATACTATTTTAAAAATTGTCACTAAATTATTTTCTTTTATTTATGATGAAAACAGGGAACCAAAATATGTGTAGGTTTAACCACTTCATGCAGGTTCACGTATATACACGTCCTCCCCCTGAAACGATAATACCAACAACAAAACTGTGGCTGCAGCCGTGTTCTTGGTACTGTTTTAAACAGCCAGCGATGGCTGATTAGGTACAAGTGATCCGGTTGCTAAACAGCAGCCGAATCATTTGCACCGGGTGGCAGAATGTGTGCCCCCCTTCCGCCGCTGGCTAACCCGGGCTCCGCTGTCCCCCGTGCTTCCCGGGACTGGCATGGCGGGTCTCCCTGCATCAATTGGAGGAAGATCAGCAAGCTTCTAGCCGCTGATCGCTCCTCCGATCACTGGACCCGGGAAGTGATGTGTATTACATCACTTCAGGTGTCACTGTTTACATTCTCCGGCTCCTAGAGTTGGGTATTATATTCCGTCTCTGTGCACTAAAATTAATTTTAGTGTATTTTATCCTAAAAATACTGGTTTGATAAACATTTGCACAAATACTGTGTGACAAAGAATTTGCAACTAGCATTTTTTTTTATTTTACGGGGCCTCTGCTGTCAGAAATTATATAATTGTTTGGGGGGTTTCATTTGTTTAGCCAAAACGTCGGATTTTATCATGTGTGTGCAAATAGTAAGAAATTGCTCCGGACAGCAAGTGGTTAAATACATATATCAATGTCACATGGTTGATAAACAAGTGTGAATATTTAAAAGTAATAGATATTAGGCATTTTCTGGTGCAATGGCTGTAATTTACCGACTGGCCTGGGACAACGTTAAAGAATGTCATGTTGAAGGGGTTAAATAAAAATAAGAGACTCTGTTGACCTAATAAATAACAGATATTTATAGGCTTACATTTCTGTGTGCTTGTGGAATGGCAAAAAAGATCTGTCATAACTGCAAAGAGGTAACACATTAAAAGCCATTACGATTCTTCCTTTCCAAGTTATTCACTCTTTTATTAGATAGATAGATAGATAGATAGATAGATAGATAGATAGATAGATAGATATACATACATACATATCGACCTAACTGTACTTCTTACTTTCTGTATCAGCAGAGAAAGTGCTGGTTTGCTAGCCCCTGTGCCACCCTTTTGCAGTTTACTTTTTCTTTTAAGATTTATTAAGGTTATTTTTTTAATTAATTTCACATTCTTCATTTTTTTATGCTAGGGTTAAAAAACTGGTGGGATTTAATTTTGTGGGCGTTCCTTTAAGTATATACAAGAGCTAGGTCTAAAATGAGAGGCAGAGGTTCTGGGTATGGTGGTAACAGGGTTTGAGCAGGTCCTGCAGGACATTATGGTTGTGTGACTGCACAAACTGGAAATAGGGCA